ACCTCTCTTAATTGTCACTGGACTCTCAGATCCTCACTCCTAGTAAATGTGAGATGTGTATGCAAATGAGCATGCACACACAAACTGACCTGATTTTGACCTCAATTGTGCAATTATGGCTTCTTTTGCATTTTTCTATGCAAAGCAGCCATCAAAACCACTGGGGTAAATTATGTAAGACAGTGCAATTAAGTAGAAGCAGAGAAGCCCTAAAAAATTATGTTCTAAAATTCCAAGCTTCTAAACCACAGCAATTTGGTCTGAGCAATTATATACATGTATGCACATGTGAATTTCAGATTATTTACTGCAATAGTTACAAAAGAGATTGCTACACCGCATCTTTTTCTCTTTGCCTTGTAATAGATTCAGTTATTTAGAGCATATACAAAGCAACATAAAACTTTAAAACAGGGTTAAAAGTTTGTCAGAAAGTCAGGATGAAGGAAGGAATTACTGCTGATACTGAAGATTTCAAAATTTCTATGTTCAGAAGTCCTCCCCAACAACAGTCACCCATGAACAGCAAAAGACCAACCACTTCCTTTTAGAAACAAACTCATGGACCTGCAGGAATGGGTTCAAGTGGGACCCAATGCAATGATCAAAGACATTAGAATTCACAATTAGTATGTATTTCTGTAAGACGTATCTGTGTTTTCGCTCTATGCATTTCCTTTTGGGAAACAAAGACCTTTTCCTATAGAGCCACAAAGGGCTGAGTGAACCATGGCGGAAAAAAAAACCCTCACAAAAAGCCCTTATTTGCCCTTATTAAGCCTCGTTAGAGAAATTATGTTTATTAGGAAGTATGGGAGAGAGGGTCGATATCTACTGCGTTAGGTACATACAGGAATTCAATCTTTCTGCCTTCTGCCAGCGCCAAGTCAACATGTGATTTGAGCTTTTTAATTCATTCAAGCTAGAAAAGAAAACACAGCACACGTGAATGGGCATGCACACGTGCACAAAGAACTACTGAGTTCCAGTTCCGAACATCCAGTACCGCCTTGTTACTCAGTGCACAGGTCTCAGTGCACAAGACAACAAACTGCCCTACATTTCTGTGGCAGAAGTAGTGGAGTAGTGGAGTAGTAGTGTTGGAGTACTCCTCCAACAGGAGTAGTGGAGCATGAGCAAAATGGTTCCTGACATTTGCAGCCTTTATGAAAACAAGGTAAGCTTGATCACTCTTGGGGTTATTATTTGTCAGACCCTTCCATTACTGAAGTACAATTTTGTTTTTAGGAATACCCAATACGATGAACCCCCTTGTGCACAGGTAAAAGGCAAGCAAAGTAACCTTTTGGAAAAAAACAAAAGGCTCAACAAATTACATTTTCTCTTTCCACAGTTCTATCTGAAACAGTGCATTAGAAAAGAGATATGATGCCTAAATGAGATGATTGAAAAAACATGTAAAAACTACAAAAATAAAGAGATGACAGAAAACTTGATTTAAGTCTGTCTAAACAAGTAATGTCATACTGGTGCCAATATGAAGTAATCACTGTTTTCAGAAAACGGGATTCAATGCCTTCTCTTGAATTCAGAAAGTGCCCTTGGATGAGTCATTAACTGAGTAATTTTTTGAAGTTAAGAGGAAGAAGCCAAGCTCAGTGAGAGTATTTGTAAGCCACATTTTGTATTACACATTGAAGTTAAAAAGAATGAAGATAGTATTTATGGGAAAGCTGTTACATCTAGATAGGAAGATATCTAGACTGAAAACTGAAGTTTCTCTCAGTGAAGCAAAATGAGTATTAGTCACATATTCTGCAGAAGATTTTAATCTTCTTTTCTGGAATGGGGAAGGGTATGCCAGGTGTCTCAGTTATCACAGAACATTCTTATTGAAGAGAAGAAATTTCATGGAAAGTAAACTTTTACAAATCCTGATTACAGCTGAACAGCGTAAGGGTTTCTACCCAAAGTCTCAGAAAAAAGAGTGAGCATTTCTTCCTCTGTATTTCACAACATGCCTTGAAAAAGAAAGGAAATAGTATCAAGAAAACAATTAGGCCTTGCTCTCATCATTAGGTGGTGTACTGACAGTTTTACCAGCTATAGTGGAAATATTTTTTCTATTTTTGCAATACAAATGGTTGTTTGGCAGCGAGTTCACTAACATATTCAAGAAAAACAGCAGATCTACTTCCAAGAAAACATGCAGACTAAATGACGTTATCTGATCTAATCAAGCTACGGACTGGTCTGTGGAGGAGCCCTCCAGATGACAACAGCAACAAAAAGGCTTTTCCCTGAACAAAAAGAAGCATCACAGAACTGCCTGGAATGGGGAGTGTTCACAGAGAGCCTACCCTTAGCCTTATTCTAAGGTTAGAATTAAAAAAAATTTAAAAGGGTAGCAAGGAGGACCCTGGGAACTACTGACCTGTCAGCCTCAGCTCTGTGCCTGGGAAGATCATGGAACAGATCCTCCTAGAAGGGGTGCTAAGGCACATGGAGGACAGGGAGGTGATTTGAGACAGCCAGCATGGCTTCACCAAGGGCAAGTCCCACCTGACCAACCTAGCAGCTTTTTATGACGGAGTGACCACATCAGTGGACAAGGGAAGAGCTATGGATGTCGTCTGTCTGGACTTATGTAAGGCCTTTGACACAGTCCCCCACAACATCCTTCTCTCTAAATTGGAGAGGTATGCATTTGATGGGTGGATGAGGAAGTGGTTGGATGGTCGCATCCAGAGGGTACTGGTCAACTGCTCAATGTCCAGAGGGGGACCGGTGACCAGTGGTGTCCCTCAGGGGTCCATATTGGGACCAGTCCTCTTTAATATCTTCATCAATGACAGACAGTGGGATCGAGTGCACCCTCAGCAAGTTTGCAGATGACACCAAGCTGAGTGGTGCAGTTGACATACCTGAGGGACAGGATCCATCCAGAGAAATCTGAACAAGCTCGAGGAATGGGCCCATGTGAACCTCATGAGGTTCAACGAGGCCATGTGCAGGGCCCTGCACCTGGGTTGGAGCAACCCCGGTATCAATACAGGCTGGGGAATGAAGGGATCAAGAGCAGCCCTGCCGAGAAGGACTTCGGGGGACTGGTGGATGAAAAGCTGGACATGAGCCACAATGTTCAGTCGCAACCCAGAAGGCCAACCATATCCTGGGCTGCATCAATAGAAGCGTGGCCAGCAGGTCAAGGGAGGTGATTCTGCTCCTCTATTTTGCTCTGGTGAGACCTCACCAGGCATACTGCATCCAGCTCTAGAGTCCTCAGCACAGAAAAGACACGGACCTGTTGGAGCGGGTCCAGAGGAGGGCCACAAAACTCATCAGAGGGATGAAACACCTCTCCTATGAGGACAGGCTGAGAGAATTGGGGTTGTTCAGCCTGGAGAAGAGAAGGCTCCAGGGAGACCTTATTGCAGCCTTCCAGTACTTAAAGGGGGCTTATAGGAAAGATGGGGACAGACGTTTTAGCAGGGCCTGTTGAGATAGGACAAGGGGTAACAGTTTTAAACTAAAAAAGGGTAGACTTAGACTAAATATAAGGAAGAAATGTTCCACGATGAGGGTGGTGAAACACTGGCACAGATTGCCCGGAGAGGTGGTAGATGCCCCATCCCTGGAGACATTCCAGGTCAGGCTGGATGGGGCTCTGGGCAACCTGATCTAGTTGAAGATGTCCCTGCTCATTGCAGGGGGGTTGGACTAGATGACCTTATAAGGTCCATTCCAACCCAAACTATTCTATGATTCTATGTTAGCAATAAGCTCACACTTCCTTTTCTTCCAGGATGAAGCACATCATGGAAGGGAAGCCAGGTAATCATTCTTCTTGCTTGTTGGTACTTTTTATTAGCCTAGAGTCTCTTTTTATCCACCTTTTAATCCAGCAGAAGGTCTAACTTTCTTCCTCTTTCCCAGAAGAAAAAAGTGCAGGCTAGTTTTTACTTTGTCCCTTTGGTTTTGCATTTATTATTTTTCAAAATGGCAGGGAGAGCAAGAAAGAATAGAGGCTAAACCTGGAAATTATTTCTAGAAACTCAAAGAAGGACTAATTTGAGGAAGAGAGTGGCCTTGCTTGTGACAGTCACCTAATTGTACCCCTGCACTGAAATCTCTCATAACATGCATATACAACAACATCTGAAAACATCCCACTTACATGCTAAAGTGAATGGCTAATGATCAAGTCTTCATGCTCACTAGCCTTATCTGTTCTACTCACTTATAATGCAACACAGCCAAATCTGTTTGGTCATGGCTGTGATAAGCCAGTGATTTTGCAAATCAAAGTTTTATGTCCATGGTAAAAGCAAAAACCTTTTTCCTGACAGTACAGAAGAACCATAATTTTCAAAGTTGTTAATTAATTTAAATGTTCAATTTTGGTAAGCTTGTGTTGTTATAAAGAAGACGTCAAAAATTTATGAATGGTCGTCTTGCATGCTGCCTGTCTATGTACCGATTCCTGCATGATTAACAAGGATTTATTCTCAACACAAAAACCTTCCTTTGGAAATGAAAAAAACAAACAGATTCTTTAACATAAAGAACTGGGTACAGCAAGTGTTATGCTGGCAGAGTTCTACTAACTTACTAGATGGATGTAAGGTTTAATTGTGTCTGGCCCACTGATCAACAACAACCTCAAGAAAGATGTCTACATTATGTGTATGCATCTATATAATAAAGACTACTGTCACATTGCTGGAACTTCTTGACTAGACCTTACCAGATCCTGTACACAGAGACGCCAGAAATTAAGAGAAGATACAGAGTCATACTTCTTAAGTATCTTTTTATGTCATCACTGACACCAGTGATATAGTTGTGAATATCTTGATCTAATCTAGCAGCATTTTCTTATCCACACTGGAGTTGACAGTAGCCCAAAATAAAAGCACTGGGGTATAAGACTCCCTTGGGATTAAAGTATTTTTTAAATGGCATAAAACCCCTGTGAAAGTAAAAATAAGCTGGAAATGCTGTATTCTCATGCAATGGAAGAAAGAAATCAAACCAACCAGTAACAGTGTCATTGTCTGGTTTTTCCCAGTCCAATATGACGAAAGTTGGACAACCCTCAACAGTCACCACTGTAAGGTTGGTTGGAGGATTTTGTGGAGGTCGAGTAGGTTCTTCCTTGCTGCCAGCTTCTTCTTGAGGAAAATGTTCAAGAGAACTTGTGATAGAGCAAGGCACATCATCATCTTTCTTCATGTATTTGACATGGGGGGCTAGGAGGAATAGGAAAGAGCTGTTATTCAATTCAGAGTGTTTTTACAAAATGTCATTTCACCTAGCACACAACTTCCATTTCAGGGCATCAAGTGAAAAATCTGCACAGCAAATCAAACTCAAACGTAAATGTTTAAGAATAAAAACCATATATTCAATATTAAGCTGCTGGTTGTTTTTTTGTTGTTTGACCTGGAATCTGCACTGCCTTCACCCCCTTCCCATTGGCAACACTAATGAAGTATCACTCTGAAGGTATCAGTGGGTGATATGCACTGTTTGAAAGAGTTAAATTCTGTCATAAAATAGAACAATTAAGCATCACCACTATGTTTCATCAGAAAGAGCAACAAGTTTAGTCCAGAGCCATTCATCATTAAACTTGCAGTTTCTAGTGACTGTCAAAATCTTAACCATTTTCAGTGGTACAGGACCAAACTTTGAAACAAACCTACTGAGGCAGATGTCTTGTACTCTGCATCAAAATTAGGAAAAGTAGACTACTGAAGACACACACATTAGTTCTAAAATTAAAACTTCTATTGGATATAAACAATAAGCTCTTGCAAGAAAGACAGTGTCTTCAGAAATGTAGTATTCCTTACAAGACCAAGAAAAAAACCTGAAAAACCTTTTGGTACAAAAGAACTTCTTTCTGTCATCTCACCTTCCTAAACTCTCTAGATTACTGCAACACCAATAACTTGACTACTTTAGCATCTATTCTAGTATGTTTTGCTATATTACTAGACTATCTGAATGTGCACAGTCTGAAACGAGAGCTGAGGCATATATGATGGGTAGATATTTCTTATGGTAAGGTGCACTGGTATAGGGGCAACAGCTCTCTGTTATGCTTGCAAGCCTACAGGAAGATTTTAATTTGATTTGCTGGAATGTGAAGTGTGCAGTTGTACTACCACTGGCATACAGGAAGAGCCACAACGTGTTTGTGGGTAAGACTGTAAACTAGGAGATGGTAGCAGGGAAGAAATTTAGTCATGAATATGCTCATGGTCTGCACTACAGTCCTTTCATCTGACACTAAAGTGGAAGAGAATCAAATAAAGTTTTGGCCTTCAAATAACCAAACAAGATATTTTTGATGCAATATAGGTCAGTCTTCATATATTCCCCCAAATAAAAATACCATAGCTGTTAAAATCCTACCTTGGTACCTTGGTTTGCCTGAAGAATCTGTTTCTGATGTAGGACTTGAGCTGAAGACAGTTGCATCAACTGTGAGACAGAGTTACAATTTAATATGCAATAAATACAAGGTTTCAGGGTTGGAACTGCAGCATTTCACAGTTCATTTGGCATTTTAAATCATGGTAAAGCTTCTTTGTGGTGACCTTTGCTGCCAGATCCATCTTTCGCTTTTAAGGACTCTGGCTGTGATGCTAAGTAAACCCCATATGTATCTGCTAGTATAGAGACAGCCATGATCAAAATGACAGAGTTCCTGGCTGCTGCTGGATTCAGTTCATGCAATATATGCAAAATGCTCTTTAGACATTTTAAAAAGTATCTTTTTGCACTGTACTGGCTGTTTAGCTTGGAGCTTGTTTCATGTTAATAGAATATATAGCATTATTATGTTGGCACATGAACTTCTCGAAAAATAGTGACAAGGAAATCACAAATTCTCTTTCCAGAGTGTACAACTTCCACAAAATTTGAAGAAAATTGAAGGCAAATATGCTGGTGAGTAGAAATGTGCTAGAGCAGTCAGGATTCATGACAACAGTGTTGTGTTAATTAGCCACTACCCTGAACAGAATCTTCTTTTAGCTCCAAATACTACAATGGACTGCAGTGGACAAAACACAATATATTCACAACAAGCATTTTTTAATATACCTAGCATCTGGCTTGCTTTACTGAGCAATAAGGGTCACAGGGAGTTCATGATCATTATAAAGAGACAAGAATTTCAGTGTTACTGTAAGTCTAGGAAAATTAGAAACAGCATCATTCATGACAATATACCTAGAGCTGCATATCTTGGCTCAAAAATTAATTCTAAGCACACCCTCCCCCAAGCCTATTCCTGTACAGCCACTTTGAGGAGATTTAGGTCTGAACTTGTAGTTAACTCCCAATTTTATAAAAGGGCAAATTACCAACTAACCACTATGTCTCTATTACAGCTTTTCCTATCTAAATGGTGGCAGCTTGATCAGATAGGTAGGAGGATATCACAAGCATGTTAAGCACTATCAGTCACTGTCAAACAATAATTTGAATTTATGTCCCATGCAAAGAGAAACGTTCAGGAAAAGAAGTGCCTTACCTACTCCCTTCACAGATGTAAAGTAGCCACTGAATAGTACTGAAAGCTAGTAAGCATGTATTGATTTCTAGGAAGATGGAAGGGCCACCATGTTCTCATTTACCAAGGTGTGTATCAGAAGACAGACAGATTAATTCAGTCGTTAGAAAAGTCACAGAGTGGCATAAAGGAAATCAGAATCACCGAAGACAGAGTAGTAATTCTACTAAATATATGATGCATCAATATAGTATAGGGAAGGGAAGCAAAAGAAAGAAAGGAAACCTTTATGTTCATGGGGGAAAAAAAAGAAAGAAATCAGAACTGTCTGTAATATACTTACCATAATACTCTGGAGTTGCAAAAGCTGTTGGTGTCTTATATGACGTTCCTGTCCTCACAGGTATAGTTGGTCCAGCAGGTTTAGCTATAGTGACAGAAGGAGGAACTTGTGGCAACAAGGTATTCACTATTTAAAAGAGTGAAACAGTTTTCTGATTTTCTAACAGAACTCAGATTTGTGACAACTGCTTCATGAAACAAGTACTTTCATTTAAACTATGATATTCCCTCAAAACTTACACAACAGTTTCCAGTTAGATTTAGGAAAGTTTCAAGTTCTCCTTACTGCCAGTATAACCCACTCCTGAAACCCAGTAAGAAAATATTTTGCTACTTGGAGGTTGCCTTGAAGGACTTCAGTCAGCTAGAATATGATCTAACAATGAAAATAAGTTTCTAAGAGGCAAACAATCCATGGTAAGGGATGTCTTGATTGTTTTCAAAATAGCTGTAAAAGACAAGAAATACATTCACAAAACATGCAGATACTCCCAGAAAACCACTGCATGACTGTGAAATCTCAACCCCAAAAAAGTCAAGAACTATATACTGTAGTTACCTTCCCTGCATCTATGACACAGAAGAACATGGTGACTGAAGGCAGAACTCTGGTGAACCAAGTTTAAAACAGCAAAAACCCCTACCTTCCATTAATTTCCTTAATAAAGTGGAAATTTATTAAGATTCTCATAGTAAAGATTCTCTCCCTACTTTCCACTAACTTCCTTAATAAAGTGGAAATTTGTTAAGATTCTCACTAGCATCCAGTTTCACAAGGGTTCTGGAACTCTCTTGCTTCCTTTTTTCCCATTCAGGAAACTTAATGTCTGCATAGAAACCTTCCCATAATAATCATCCACTGGATGAGTAAGAAGGATACAAGTAAGGAATTAATCACAGTGCTAAACAGAAAGAGAAACAGGACAGAATTATGAAAGGGAAAATCCAAGAAGAACATTGAGGCAAATTTTTCCTGTTAGTACTGTGGAATAGTCTCTCCAGGGAACCAGAAGAAACTCAATTATGTTGTTTAAAACTAAGCTGGATAAAACACTAGGAAACACAGAAAAAAGGAAAATCTGCTACTGCCCCCCCCCAAGGAGGAACCAAATCATCTAACCAATTTATTCCATATTGAATGCCTAGGAAGGTATGGTAACTGCTGACTACCACACAATGGCCTCTAGTGTATGGAAAAAGGGTGACATTTCAAAACACTGCTAAATTAATTAGACACTTAATGGAGAAAATTAGCATAGACCCCATCACAAGCAAAAGAAAATGTATCAGGTCAACATTTTTTTATGCTACCGCTTAAGATTGACAATGTCTTATGTTCTGTTGTAGCTATTACTAAGGCAACACCGCTGATCAACAGCAAGTACAGACACAATATTTCAGTCTTGGCTTGGCTACTGAGTAACTATACAGCTTGTTTCAAACAGCTTGGAGATTCTTGCTTCTAGTCTGCTGCATAAAATACTCAAAAATTATTTAGGTCTTTAGTGCCTTAATAGCACACAAAGACCCAAACGAAACAAACCCAAAAAAGCCAACAGGAAATGCAGCAGAGCCAAGACCTTTATAGTTCCAGTGAACTACAGAGAGTAATATCGAGGGAAGCATTTCTCATGATTCTAAGCATAATGAGATGATAGTTTCTGACTACCTGGAATAGCATTAGCCTAAGGATTCTTATGTAGAATCCACAGACAAAACATACATAAAGATACTGAATATCAGCTTCAGGATAAAATTTTTAAAAAATAGGAAATGTGAAAGTTTCTATGTGCTCTTATGCTGATACTAAGAGGTAGGAATACTGTAGCATAGGAATGAAACTAAACTCTTTGCACATGAAATAACTCAGCTCACTCTACCACCCACTCAAGTTACTTTTCTGGGTCCCTATTAGCTTGTTATTTGCAGTGGTTAAAGGATGTGTTGCAGATACGGGACAAAATTTCTTTACAAATAACCAGTTGGGAGTATGCATTGAAGCACAATATTCAGCATCTCCTATCTGACACACATGTTAAGTAACTGCAAATGCTATTAGTAGACATGAAATGTTCTAACATTGATCTTATTAAAGGATGACTTCCATTATGCTGTTTTGGTTTCAGCTCCCTTACTAGGGATGATTTTGACATAACTAGATTAGGAAAACAAAAGGAAAACAGAGTTTATGTTTGAAGACAAAAGACACAAGGCCTGTATGTTCCAGGAGACTAGTTTCTACAGATATCACAGATTAAAGAAAAAGAATCTATACTGTAAAATTCTCCTACACCCTGCTAGTCAGTTCAGTATTCTCTCACACATAATAAAATATTTATACTGAAAATGCAGAGATACCTGGACTCCCTGGTTTACCAGTCACGGTGTTTGGAGGCAGAGGTTTTCTTCGTATTTGTGTAGGCTTGACAGGAGGTATAGGAGGATGCTGAGGGCCAGGTGGTGTAGTTACTGAATGACATTATAAGACAGCGTTATTAATTGTCTAACAGCAAATTCCATAAAATCAGCAGCTCACTACAGGTTATATTCTGACTTCTCAAACAACATTTCATGTCTGATTTAGTATCAAAAGCAGAGAGGTGAGGTTAGGAGCTGAAATGAGTTGTATTTTCAGCCTTAAATTCTTTGGGAAGTGTGTGCCATGGAGTTTTAAACCAAGCTTACACTGAAAAAATGTAGCTCTTCTGGGATTTTGTACAAGTGTTTCAGTGATTCATTTTCTCTGTAGTTACTCATTTCTGTCAACGGTAATTTTTTGGCAACCAACAGGATACTTCTTCCCACGATAAACACCACCTCAGTGTACTTGGTAATACAAATAAAATACAAATAAATACAAATAAAAAAATTTCAGTATCCTACTCAGGAAATTTCTATCTTTTGTGCTTTCTAACTGATAAAAGTGGTCACCCTCAGCTTAAAGCAAAAGATGTAGCAAAAGGGAAATTATCATTAGGGACACTTTATCATGCTGTTCAAAAGTGAAAAATGAAAAAATTCACTGTCACTTCATGCACTGACATGGCTAGAGACAGTTATTGTGTTAGAAACTCCTGAAGCACCCAACTAGGTTGTTTCAATGTGCAGTTCCAGCCAGTATCTTTTAAATTTATGTGGCAAGGTCCTTTGAGAGTGATGTCTGAAAGGAGAACCTAAGCCTCTTAAAACATTTTACTGTATTTTCCAGGTAATTATAAAGGATTTTATTATGCAAAGGAACGGCAGAGGAAAAGAATTTTCTTTCACTATTCACCTCTGCGCTTCTTTCCTTAAGAAAAAAAAACCAGGAGATATGTGCAACACATTTATGTAACAAAAGACTTTTTGTATCTAATGGGAAAATCCTCAAGAGTAATGTAATTCTTATAATGCTGCCAAAGTCAACAAATATGCAAGTTGCCTGATGCTGAGTTACTGGCTACACAGAGTACCTCTGGCCCTACATATCAGACCTCAGTTTACCCTATAAATACAATGACTATGGGCGAGAAGGGAGGAGATCCAAAGACTCATTTGGGAGCGTCGTTTTAGAAATACAGTATACAAACAGGAACATCTCCATCTTTCTCTGTTCCCTTTGCCTTTTGGACTTTTGCAGTCACTTATAAAACACATTTTTCTTAAATCCCTCATATCAAGGCAGGAAATAATGCTCTAATTCAGGAAGATGTAATGGTTTTGAAAATAGCATTTGTAGGTTTCATATTCATTCTTAATACCCAGATGGAGACGAAAGAAAAATTGCCTAAAGACCTGAAAAAGGATAATAAATTTTTGTACATATAAGTCATCATACCCTAGATACTACATGGTAGTATCCATAATTAGTTTTCCCCCTGCCCATATTTGGGGAACTGGATTGTCCAAGATATCGATGGGGTAAAATGATGCAAGTATTGACTTGTCAGTGGTTTCTATTGTATCCGCTGAATGACGCAACCTCAACAGTTACATGCAAGCCAAAACATCACATTCAGTGGACTGTGTCACAGTTGAATCTACTATACTGCACTTTGGTAAAAGAAGAATCCCTACTCTCCTTCTACTAATTCCACCCCTTCTACTACTTCCACAGTGATTTGGGTGATGATCTATGATGCTATGAAATCTATTTAACAATGTGGAGACTGAGCTTGTAAACTAGGACACAGAATAGAATTTAGGGATTTTGTGGTAGCATAGATTCTTGCAATGATGGCAGCATGGTGAACTATTAGGATTTATTTTATCTCAGGGGTTCTTTGTGGACCAGGAGTGCATTTCCTCGACTCTGTCACTCTTCATGGAAAAGGAGGGCATGCAGCCTCTTAGGACAGACTCTTAACATATCAGGCTTAATTCTTTTGTACTGTTACCTATCTTTTTCATTTCTCGTAAGTAGCATGAATGTAAATTTTTCAGTTAACATACACTAAGTTTTCAGAAAAAGTAAATGTATTTAAAAGCAAAGTTAAATACTGGGTAACTTATAGCAATATCTGATAAATCAGCCTCACCTCTTTGCCTGGTAAGATCATGGAACAGGTCATGCTGGAAGCTATCTCAAGGCATATGGATGACAGAGAAGTGATTAAAGACAGCCAACATGGCTTCACAAGGGCAAATGGTGCCTGACTAATCTGGTGGCCTTCTACAATTGAGTGACTGTGTTGGTGGATAAGGGAAGAGCAAGTGATGTTATCTGTCTTGACTTCTGCAAGGCCCCTGACACAGTCCCACATAACATCTTTGTTGCTAAATTGGAGAGATATAGGTTTGATGGATGCACTAGTCGATGGAAAAGGAATTGGCTAGATAGGCGCATATAATGACTTATCATCAATGGCTCTATGTCCAAAGGTAGATCAGTAACAAGTGGTGTCCCTCAGGGGTCCGTACGGGGACCAGTACTGTTCAATGTCTTTACTGATGACACAGACAGTAGGATCAAGTGCACCCTCAGCAAGTTAGTGGATGACACCAAGCTGAGTGGTGCAGCTGATAGGCTTGAGGGAAGGAATGTCATCCAGAGGGACCCTGACAGGCTGGGAAAGTGGGCCAGTGCAAACCTCGCAGTTCAACAAGGCCAAGTACAAGGTTCTGCACCTGGGTCAGGGCAATCGCCAGTCTCAGTACAGGCTGGGTGACAGATGGATCCAGAACAACCCTACAGAGAAGGACCTGGGGATACTAGTAGACGAACAGATACAAGCCAGCAATGTGTGCGCTCGCAGCCCAGAAAGCCAACTGTATCCTGGGCTGCATCAAAAGAAGCGTGGCCAGCAGGTCAAGGGAGGTGATTCTGCCCCTCTGCTCCCCTCTGCTGAGACCCCACCTGGAGTACTGCGTTCACCTCTGGGGTCCTCAACGTAAGAAGGACATGGACCTGTTGAAGCGGGTCCAGAGGAGGGCCACGAAGATGATGAGAGGGCTGGAGCACCTCTCCTATGAGGACAGGCTGAGAGAGTTGGGGCTGTTCAGCCTGGAGAAGAGAAGGCTCCGGGGAGACCTTATTGCAGCCTTCCAATACTTAAACGGGGCAAAGTAAAATGGGGACAAACTTTTTACCAGGGCCTACTGTGATAGGACAAGGGGTAATTGTTTTACACTAAAAGAGGGTAGATTTCGGTTAGATATAAGGAAGAAATTCCTCACTGTAAGGGTGGTGAGACAGTGGAACATGTTGCCCAGTGAAGTTGTGGATGCCCCATCCCTGGAAGCATTCCAGGCCAGGTTCGATGGGTTTTTGAGCGACCTTGTCTAGTGGAAGCTGTCCCTGCCCGTGGCATGGGCGGGGAACTATTTGGTCTTGAAAGGTTCCTTCCAACCCAAACCATTCTATGATTCTATAATTCTGAATTTTGGTATACATATTAAGGCCTCATGAAGAGAGTGGAGATCATATACAAGTATACAAGAAAATCACAAAACATTAGTAGCTGATTTCACAACCATACCCAACTGTCTTTCATGACTACATTTCAAGGTATTGGCTTACTTCAAAGCTTCAAAAGCTTAAGTTTAAATGTCTAATGTCATAAAATGAGTAAAAGCAGATGTAGATGTTGCTTCGAATCTATGTGCATAAAAAAACTTCCAGCCTCTGGAAATCAGAAGATGGATTTACTTAAGTACACACCACTGCCTGACATTCAGTAACAAAAAATGCGGTTTTTAGTTTACAGTCTGCATCCAGCTACTACTAATAGTATATCACACTGGACTTAATCTTTGCAAAGTACAATCTTCAGATTGAATGAACTTAAAAAAGATAAAGCAGCAGAACTCATCTGTCAAGATAGGCTCTTGTCTTTGTGCGGGTAAATTAGGTGCAAAGGAAATTCAACAGGGATTAGGAGCAAACAGCAGTTTATAAATTGGAGACATACCTTCATGTCTGTGTTTTTAAATCTAGTAATACACTTTCAAAGCTAATAACACGTTTTCAAAGGAAAACCTACCTAAAAAGAGCAACTGCAGCTGAACAGTAAATTCAAGGGTAAAACTAAAAAGATTTTATTTTCAGTTTTTATATCAGTAAAAACCCACAGCTAAAACAAGTTCTATTCTTGGTTATGCTTATAGAACAAAGACATTCTCTACATGTAAGTATGTTTACATGTTTGTATGTATGTTTGTGTGTATACACATGGATAACAAACATGCTCTATACTACAACTTTCCAATTGAAACAGAAAATTTTCTCAGAAGCTGACTAGAAAAAAGTGAAATACAAAAAACCTATTTTTGAAGGCCTGTTTGGGGAAGCTATTTTTCACTAAAAATGTTTTGATTGTTTTGAAAATATGACTGCAAGACTTGCAAGAAAAGTGAAACTGACAAGCCTGGTATAGCACATGTAAAAAAACCTGTAACCTTATTTTCTCCACATTGTTATTTTGCTTCAAGCCTAACATTCTAATTTTCCCTACAATCCTAATATTCAACAAAATTTTTCCATAAATGGGAGGACAATTTAGCTATGCATTCTACTTATTCTGCCTTGCTATGTAGAAACTATTAGTATGAAAAAAATCAGGCCTACAGTATTGTGGCTGTTTGATCATAAGAATATAACACTGGTGGTGGTAATTTCTAATATACAGCATACATTAGCCACTAAGTGGTGACCACGAAATATTCTTATTTTTATCTCTTTTAGTAGCATCCTGAAGCCAAGAGAACATGTATTGATGCAGATGACTAAGAACTATTCTGTCTTCTTAGTGGAGGTGCTTTTTGTGTAGGAAAGGTGGTGTTTTCAATTTTCATAACTGTTAAAATTTGCTATATTGTCTTCTTTTATTAACCTTACCAGAAATTGGCTTTTCCCAGGTATCACTATATTCCAAAGGTTTTTCCACATCCACGCCAATTTGTCTGGCAATATCCTCAGGTGTATATGCATCATCTGTGAAACAAAGGAAATGAAATAAGTATCTACAGTGCAGTACGAAGTCATGGAATACTTCTATATTGCCTATGTTCAAACTCTAGGTAACATTAAATGCAAAACTGGCATATATGGCCCACCTATGTTTTTACTGATAACTTAGTGATACCTGTTATCTTCCTATTCAGGTAAGTATAGAAAGTGATCTGGGTCTAGAGAATCTGCAATTTAATGTTAAATATTCCTTGAAAAAAGTATATTTGGAAAGAGAAAATTAATAAGATTAAAAGACAACAGATGAGTTAAATCAAGATTATATGTGGAAAGATGAGTATAGAGAATATTTGAGTTTTTCAGTATACAGAATAAAACATCCACTGATTATTGCAAAGGGCAGTTCTCTTTCTCCCCAAAATAAGATCTTCGGTTATCCTCCATATTGAATGGCTAGAGCAATTCTGAACCAAACATATACCATATTTGGAGTACTAGAGGCAAAGTGTACATAAAATTCAGTTTGTATATAAAAGAAAGTCCTACTTAAAAGTTATATAAACACATTTTTAAAAAACTGAAGTAAATGGCATTAAAAAGATCAACACAACTACTCCTGGTACTCAACAACTCTTTCACATGCTGATATTTATAGGACAGCCAGACTGTTAAATTAATATGCTTTCCCTAGACAAAGTAAGTACATTTACTTTATAAAACCTCTATATATAGTAGAGTGAGGAGATGCATTGCAATTTCATCATGTTTGTGGGGGGAAAAAAAAATTCGCTCTTTCTCATGACATAAGGAAAAAAACCCTGAAAGTTAATATATTAAAAAAATAAATCTCAAAATTAAATTAATTACCAAATGCCAACCCTATTCCAACATGATATAAATATTTCAAGCAAAGATTTCATAGCTTTATAATCTGGTGCTCAGCTTGTTTTGACATTAAACTAGTATTTTAACAGCATGAAACACATAATTTTTCAATTATTTTATGATTTGGCCTATAGGCATATCTTAGGAATCCGTAGTCCATAGTATGGACGCATTAAATGATTCACTTAAGATTAATGAGACTTGTAGTAAGCTGGGAACAAGACACAGGTCACCTGGTCCCTGTGACTAACATTTCTAAACACATAATGTGGTTTTATATAACTGCAATTTGTCTTCAGGTAACTAAAGTGGTTAATCAGATCTTCAGACATACAAACTGCCAAAGTGCTAACCAATGTTTCATGTGAATGGTGTTCAAGGAAGAAGAGGCATAAGACCAGCACTAGCTTTAAAAAGAAAAATAATCTTGTACACCATGGGTGCATATTCAGAGATATTTAGTTTCTTAGCTTCATCTCACAATAAACACATCAACAAAATGTAGTAGCACATTGACTAAATCACACTAAATTACCCAAGTATCCATTACAAGTCTAATTCATTTTTGCATTTTATAGTGATAGTGCCTACAGAAAACACCTCTATCCTGCTCCTTAAAATCTAATTTAGAATCATAATCTTCTCTGAGTTATATCAGCTAGGAAGGAACAAAATATTGTATACATTCTAAATGGAAGTAGTAATTTTTATTCTTCCTCCCCCGCCCCCAAAACTTGCACTGCTGTTCTGGCATTAGTAAAGTAGTAATGAAAATTAAGTCAAAGTTTCAGGGAAAAAGCTGATCAAACCACAGCACTTCCCTGGCAACAAAATCTCCTTTTTGAATGTTTCAATGCACTCTAAAGTTACATAAAAGTTTGTGTTTTCACACAAGGTACCTGCACTATCAAACAGCTTGCTGTATTTGTCATAGCACTTGCCTTATGCTAGCTAATGTAACTTGCATTTCAACTTACCACATTCATCCAAACTTTTAACAGAATTGAGAACAGATGTATTACTTGCATATGTGTTTGTGTCTTCTTTTACTTCTATCTTTTTTCCTGGAAATATTCGTGGGGTCTGGAACACCTTAAAACTAACCACTGCGTCTTGAACAGC